CGGTCCTGTTGGTGTTGTTGTTGTTGTTGTAAAGAATTAGTCGGTGGGAGACGGGGGAGAATATTGCGTTAGGTGTAGGCAAAGATGAGGTATGGATGTAGAGAGTGCGTCCTTTATTGCGGAATTGATTTGAGGAGGTTCTTTTGCTTGGATTAGTCAATGACAAGAAGGACGGGAAAACGAAGAAAAAAAAACCACATGAACTGTGTAGCGGGATGTCAACGTACTGTAGGATGGCGGTGCTTGATAAGCGTGGAAAGGGTGAGGGGTCGGCGGGGTGGGCACCGTAATCTGGCAGGGTTGTCACACGGTATTGCGTAGGTTCAGGTTGATTTCAGCGGGGGGTTTTGGTCGGGTCGGGTAGACGAGGTTGAAGTGAGGTTTTGTTGTCGCGAACGTGGAGCGCGTAATGGGAGGGGAGGGGGGGAAAGGTAGTAATTAAGTGGACGTCGGGAAAGGGGCCTGAGACGGAGATGCAAGATTCTTTGCCTACAGATCTTTATCAGATGCCGCCTATATTGCTTACGTTTACGGTGAAATGGTCGAAAGTCGAGGTAAGGAAAAGGCACAGATTTGTAGGGTGCCGTGGCATTAGGGGTCCGAAAGCGGCGGCTAAGTAGCATCCCCGCCCCCATCTACGCAATGAAAACTTGACACTCACATTCACAAGCATGACATAGATGAGAGGCAGACACGGCAGGGTGACAAAAGCGACAAGGGGGGTGGTTGGGAATGCTGACGCTGCATTACAGATTCTCATGGAGCCAAATTGCCCAACCGGCGAGTTTGCAATCCTTATTTCCAAACATCCGCCTCACTGCCCTTTGAACTCGTATTTCCTTTCCTCGGGCGGATACCCGCTGGAAATTCTCAACTCTCAAATTTCTCTTAGTCTCTTTTTATTCCCCCCAAAGTGTGGGCGGCAAGAATTGGGAGTCATATGGACTGGACTGGACCGCACAGGACGGTCGGCGCGCCGCGGACAATGCACAGTGGGAATGACCGCTGACCAAACTGACAAAGGTGCATTCTCCGCAAGGTCATTGGTCAACCCGCCGTACGCAGTAACCCCTTGGCGATGTTTATCCCTACCCGACCAAGTCCCCGACTCCCCTTGGGCTCTTCTCGGTCTCCCCTTTCGCGGGGTCCAATTCTGCAGGACTACAATAGGCACCCCCCTCGCCATTCGGACTTGTTCGGCGCTGTGCCTATGAACCCTGATTAAGCAGATTCTGCCGGGATCGGGTCGGATTGCTCCCTTGAGTAAGGTTCGACAGACGGCAGCACGGAGTACCAGAGCCGTGTTGACCGTTTCTTGTTTGTCATCTCGTCCGGCCGTCTCCGGACTGGTTCTCCAGCGCCTTCCTTGGCATACCTGCGCGCGCGCGACGATAACCGCGGACCCAGAGGACCTACCTTACCTTTGGGAGCTTAGGGAAGTATTTCGTGTGCTAGGTAAGGTAAGGTAAGGTAAGGCACCATCGGTACACATGATATGTCTGCCTTCAATTCCATTGCCAAACTTTTGATTCGTCCCCAAGTGACCAGGTACTAGATGCATTGTGATACATGAGAAAATTACTCGCTGGAGTTTCTGTCGTCTTGTTCTCCAGACGTCGGTTCCAATATCCCGTGAGCCTCAACGCCGGTCCCGGAAAGTTGCCTCCTCTATAGATACTCCACATCTCAACGATGTCGACGCAGACGAAGACATGCTCTATGATGTGACTTGTGAACGCCTCTACAACTTGAAGCTGCTGCTCGTCGCCTTGACCTCCGCCTTGGCCTTGTTCCCATCGAGCCCGACAACCTCGCCCTTGCGGTTGATCACCTTGACCCCGCCCTTCTTCAAGTCCGCCATCGTATCCTTCTGCATCTGCGCCTTCTTGCTGAGCGGCTTCTTGTCCGTCCCGCCCGCCTTGCGGATCCGCTCCTTTTCGCGCCGGCGCCGCCGCACCTTGTCCTCCCGCGACATCTCCTCCCGCGCCATCGGCAGCCCGCTCTTGCCCAGCACCACCTCGCCCTTCTCCGCCGTCTCCTTGCCGGCCTTGTACACTTCTTGCGGCGCAACCATGCTCTGCCCGCCGCTGACGCCCTGCGCCGTCGCCGGCTGCGCGTCCTCCATCGCAATCGTCGCCGCATCCGACACCACCGTCAGCGACGGCGCCGCCGCCTTGGGCTTGTAGTGCCAGTTGCTCAGCGAGTCCAGCTTGGCGCTCAGGTCCTTCCACATGCGCTCAATCTCCGCCTCTTCTTTCGCGAGCTTCTCGTCCGACTTGCTAACGTAGTTGTCTGGGTCGGTGTTCTTGATGTGCTCCTCCTCGTAAATCTCCGCCAGGCCCTTGCCGGACTTGGAATCGTCCAGCTCAATCAGGCCCCGTCGCGTGCCCTCGGGCACGTTCTCGGCGCCAGGCCGGCGGCGGGGAACCTCGTCAAAGTCCTGCGCCAGGATCCTCCGCTTGATGAGGTCCTCGATGCTCTCGCTGACCTCGGCCGTGATGATGGGCACCGGCTTGCCCAGGTGCTCAAAGGACATATCCTCCTCGAGCAGCGAGTTCATCGGGCGCTCGGCGGCAGAAGCCTCACCCGTCAACGTCCACTGGCGCTTGGCGACCGACTCGGCCTCGAGCTTACGGATCTCCTCGGCGAGCTTGGCCTGGCGCCTCTCATGCGCGGACCGGCGCGACCGCGGGTCGCCCGCCGAGACGTCGGACAGGGCGTCGTCCGAGTCGTCGCCGTGGTCAGAATCGTCGTCAAAGAGGTCCTTCTTGACGTCTGCCATGGCTCGCTCAACGTCCTCCTCCTGAACTGCCTTGGGCGCGAACCGCACGGACTTGTTCTTCTTGTATTTACCGTCCTTGGATGCCTTCTTCGCCGGCGGTGCGAAGAAATCCTTGAAGTAGATGCCGTTCGCGTTGAATTCCTCCTCCTCGTTGTCCATGGCTTCATCCATGTCCTCGTCGTCACTGGCGCCTTCGGGGGCGTTAAGATCCATGTCGCCGAATGTGGGACCGTCTTCTTCGGAACCCTCCTCGTCTGAACCAGCGTCGTCGTCCATGTCGACGTCCTTGTTTTTTGATGAGCTGGACTTGCTTGGTGCTGACATGGGGTCGGCATTCCAGTCGATCTCTTCGTCGTCGCTGTTAGCGTCCGTGTTGGGGTCTCCTCGTGCATCCTGCTCCTCGAACCACTGGGTTTGCTTGTTGAAGGAGTCGATTGAGAAGAAACCGTCGTTGAGTCCGTTGGGGTCCTCGACATATTCCTCCTCGTCATCCTCTTCTTCCTCGTCGTCTTCTTCACCATCCTCTTCCTCGTCGTCTTCCTCCATGTCCTCGAGATCGCCTGTGAGACCTTCAACATCTGAGCCCTCAGGCTCCTCAGCATCGGAATCCTCCTCGGCGCTCTCCATATCAGAGCCCGACAGCTCTTCCTCGTCACTGGAGCCCTCGTCGTCAAGGTTTTCGGAAGCCGTCTCGAAAGACAGAATAGAGCTCTCTGAGCCATTGTCCTCGTTGGTGACAACCTCATTCCGGTCCTCAAGCTCCTGCAGTGTCTCCTTGGAATGGTTCAAAGCGCTCTGGATAATACGACGGGCCTGCTGCCAGACCTGGCTCGTCTCGAATCCGTCGACATGGACCTTGCGAATCTTGAGAACATCAGGCCCCGCGCCGCCGCCGTCGGCCCGCTTGCGCTTCTTGGTTGCCTCCTTCAATAGGCGCAGCTGCTCGTCGCTAATCTGACCGGCGAACGCATCGAGTGTGTCCTTGACAACCTGGAGAGAGGCCGACGGGATCGCGGGCGGCGGCTGGAGAAAGGCGTGTCGGTTCTGAGCGTCCAGGTTGTCGAAGAGGGCCTTTACGTCGACGACGCCGCCGTTGGGGAGCTGAGCGGCCATGCCAGGCGCAAATGTGAGGGTATTTGACGTCAGGGAGGAAGATGTGCTGCTGCCCGCCGCCATGATATGTTTTGTTTTCTTTTCCTTCCGTGGCTCGCTCGCTCGCTCGGAATATGCGTGTTTCGGCCGTGCAAGAACTGAACTGGACTTTTTTTTTTTGGGTCGGACATAGGCTTGCACTTTCCGTCAAAAAAATTTGGGACCCCGCAAAACGTCCGGGATCGTGGGTCTGATCGTGATTGGCCAATGAGATCTGTGCTGCCTGTCAAGCCTCATTAGCTAATCATTCTGGTTCATCCGTTCTGCACCTCTTTGGGTCGGCTCGTTTGTGAAATCTACGCAGTAATGTTAGTTGTATTCGCCATTAACTGTTAGGTACCTTGATGGTATATCCTCTTGGTAGATAGCTCAATCTCGATGTAGGCAGAACTTTGTCGGCTATGGTCAGTCGAGTTCAAAGAACCAAGTGTTCACACTGGCGCTCTACAGCTCACTGATATCGTGACGATAACTGCCTGCACCATCTTCGAATGCAACGGTCTACATGAAAATATGTCCAGAGTCCCCTGGGTCGAATTTCCGTTGTTTAATGCTGCTCGACTACTAATCCAGGTACTCGTAAGCTTCACTCAAAAACGTTGCGGCTCGGTGGTGGGGCCGATCCGGTCCCATGATGGAGGTACCTCCGAATGATTACTAAGAACGGCGAGGACCCCAATGGCCTCGACTTACATCTCACATCCCGTCAGTATTCGCTTCGCCTTACATCTTAGAAGATATAGGACTAAAGAACCATTGGTGCCGTCAATTTCAAGACCGTACTTCTTATTGGATTCAGTACGACGAAGATCCACGCGCAAATCGGGTTCATACGCAAGTCTTCCGACTCTTTCAGACTTCCTAGTAGGAGAAGCAACCAGTTGAACCCGTGGGCTCATCACACCTTGGCGAACCCCAAAGGTCCCGCCTTCATGTAAGTTCACGTATACCACAGCTAACTTCTCTCTGTGTTATTATGGTCATCATTGATGACTTGGAAGAGAAATCTGATCACGGGATTCTGCATTATGACTCACAAGCTGACCCTCCAAACAGCACCATCAAGATGTCAAAAGTAGGCGTCTCAGACGATCCGGCCGCAGCAGTCGCGACATCCCGCTCCGACGGCAAGACTCATCTGCTCCTATGCGCCAGCGGCTCAGTGGCCACCATCAAGTTGCCCAACATCATCAAAGCCCTCGGCCACCACAAGAGCCTCGCCATCAGAGTCATCCTCACGGCCTCGGCGACAGAGTTCCTCAATGGTTCAACAGAAGAACAGCCCTCTCTTGCCGCGATAAGAGTGCTGCCAAATGTCGAAGGCATTCACTTGGATGCGGATGAGTGGGTGCAGCCTTGGCGGCGCGGTGCGTCGATTCTGCATATTGAGTTGCGACGGTGTAAGTCAAATAGTCTCCCGTAAATTTGTAACTTGTGCAGTGGCCTTGCTAACTTGTATTGCGGATACTAGGGGCGGACTTGATGCTCGTCGCTCCACTTTCGGCAAACACACTGGCCAAAATCGTCAACGGCTTCTCAGACAACCTCTTGGTAAGCACTAATTATCCCAGATATACAACTTTTCCTGGGACTCATGCTTCTGTAGACAAGTGTGGTCCGAGCATGGGATGCAGATGGACTCATCGATGGCCGGAAAAAGAAGATCCTTGTGGCTACCGCGATGAACTCGGCCATGTACGCGCATCCTATTACTGCGAAGCAGGTCAAGGTGCTAGAAGAAGAGTGGTCGTGGTTCGAGGTACTGAGACCGATTGAGAAGACGCTTGCTTGTGGTGACACTGGCAGTGGTGCAATGATGTCGTGGGAGGATATAGTCAAGGTGACGGAGACGAGGCTTGGCCTTTGATGCCATATCACGCATGTAAGTTGTCGAAAGAAAGATTAATGAAGCTGGCATTTTGGCAGATTTTGGCTTGGAGTGAGGTTGTTTCTACTCGCATGACATTTATGTTGTTCGCTCACTTGGCCATCAAGGCATCCAACAAACAGATAGAGACGAAGGTGGGAAGGCCACTGACAGGTGAGGACTGATATATCGTGTCGACTTGGCTAGCGCAGAAAGTCCAATGGCAGTCACTTGAGACTGTTACTATCAAGTCCACGTTTCAAATGGCCGTTGATGCTGTGTTAAGGCTTTCAACCTATTGCACTGTATACGGTGACCCAAGAAAATCAGTCAGCTTGCATTGCCATTAACAGGTACTGAATACATTCTTGGATGACTTTCGCGTGTCCATAGTCACAAACATACTTTGGACGTGAAACCTTCCACATGTGCTAGGTGCTTGATATATGTGTAGCGGAAGAGAACATCGCGCGTTTCTCCTGATCTTCTTCTTTGAGGTCCACTTCGATCAGAGCACAAATTGAGATGTTGGCACGTGAAGGGGTTTGGCGAGGGGAAGAGATGGGAAGCGTATTCGCACTGATCAGTCATAACCGCTTGTTCAAAACATGTGAAAATGAGACAAAGAGCAGTCAGAATGAGAGCTCAATACTTAGACAGGTAACCTGAAGTGGGTATCATAAGCTTGGGCTAGGGGGATGACATTTGCCGTGCACTGATTGGCGCTCTGCACAGCCAACATGGAGTGCGACATCGGTGACCTCGGTGAGGAAAGGCCCAAGCTCCCTCACCGAGAACCACACCTCGGATTACATCACCCATTTCGCAATCCCATGACATTTTCGCATTTCTCATCAACTGCTTGCCCCCCGTTGACCACACCTTTCAACACACCTACTCCACAGCAAAGATGCTCTCAAGGACGTTCCTCCGCTCAGTAAGTTCAGACCCAATTATACAAATAACCCAAAAGACCCAACTCATCCCGAGACCGTCAACCTCGCCGTGCGCAATCACTAACCTCTCGGTGTCTTTTTCGTAGAATTTCGCAAGGCAAGCCGTCCGGCCGGCGGCGCGCCCAATCGCCTTCCGGGCCCCGCTTCCCTTCCTCACACAGCACCGCCTCATCTCCGACGAGACCAAGCAGGCCATTGAGAACGCCGTCGGCTCCGCGCCCGTCGTGCTCTTCATGAAGGGAACCCCCGAGACGCCCCAGTGCGGCTTCTCCCGCGCCTCGATCCAGATCCTCGGCCTCCAGGGCGTCGACCCCTCCAAGTTCGCCGCCTTTAACGTCCTGGCCGATCCCGAGCTGCGTCAAGGTATGTCGATACACTCTTTATGCATGGCAAAACTTTCTAGACTATGGCATTGGGACGAACGAAATGCTGACTTGTTTTGCTTGTGATAGGTATCAAGGAGTTCTCCGACTGGCCTACGATCCCCCAACTCTACGTCGACAAGGAGTTTGTCGGCGGCTGCGACATTCTTGTTTCCATGCACCAGAACGGCGAGCTGGCTAAGCTTCTCGAGGAGAAGAAGGTCCTTGCCGAGGGCGAGGGCGAGGGCGAGAAGAAGGAGTAAGAGGAGGGAAAGAAGGCTAGATGCCCAGCGCTGGGAAGCGTTTGGAAAACTGTACAACTGTATCATACCAAAGGGAAGGCAAGCCATGCGTGGGCCACGGCCGGAGGAAATAGAGTGGTATTTATTGGCAAACTCCTAAACAATGCTTTTATTTTATTTAATTTTGTACCCCTTTTTGCGCAGTTGAGAATTTCGTTGAACAGATGGTGAGGTAGATGGGTGCTGCGATGCTATCCCCTATTCCCCCTATGCAATCAAATGAAGCCATCGCGAAAGAGACCAGAAAGTTGGCATTTCAACGCAGCGGAATCCGATCAAAATTCAAAAGGCAACCCGATTATGATCGAACGGATCCATTCTTGTTGACATGCTGCACGGAGGCAAATAATCCACGGGGTGAGGGAGAACCAGAGGAGCAAAAAATGATTCTTCCATATGGGATCGAATAAAAAACCAAACGCCAGAATATGGTGATCAAAGGGACTTAGATCCACACTCGGGTCTTCCAGTGATAGGGCTGGACACTGCATCGAACACAAGGCAACAGGGTGACTCGGGAGCTCAAAGGTTGGTAGTATTCGGGATGCATACTACGGTGGTCGTACCTTTTGGTGATCCAAGACTAAGTCCGTTTCCAATTATCCACACCATGGCTAATAATATTACGGTTACGAATTATCTGAAAACTCGACCTCAGGCACCTCAAAGTGCCGGGTACGCTGCACCATCACCGCGCGGGTCACTTCCCGCAGACCACACGCCAGTTCCCTCAACCGTGTCAACGGTATGTCTAATGATCTGCCCGCGGCCAAACAGCCCCCTCTCAGATCCGGTAACGACCTCAACCTTGTGCCCAAGCTTCCGCAGACCCTCCACTGTCTCCTCCGGCATGCCCTCCTCTACGCTGACGGTCCAGTCAAAATCCGCGTCCCTCTCGGGCAGACCAGCGACAATACACACGCGCGGCGCATCGAGCGTCTGCTGCGGCGTGAGGCCCGCGACCAGCTGTCCGAGGAGAACCTGCACGTGGCCCTGAGGCTGCATGAACCCGCCCATGACGCCGAAAGCGCTATGCAGCGATCCGTCTGCCGCGTTAGTTACCATGCCGGGGATGATGGTGTGGTACGGGCGCTTCCTGGGCTCCAGCTTGTTAGGATGATCCGCGTCGAGGCTAAAGTTCGCCCCGCGGTTCTGCAGCGTAAAACCGCAGCCCTTGGGGATGATGCAGGTGCCGAAACCGCCGTAGTTGCTGTTGATAAAAGATGCTGCGTTGCCGTGCTCATCCGAGACGGAAAAGTAGACGGTATCGCTGCTCTGGAGGGCGGGGGAGATGTGCTTGGGCGGTTCGCCGACGTGGAGCTTCTGCATGGCCTTGGTCGGGTCGAAGAGCTTTGCGCGGGCGGCCGAGTACTCGCGCGAGATGAGGCCTGCCGAGGGCACGGAGACGACATTGGGGTCAGTGACGTACCAGCTCGCGTCGGTGAAGCCGAGGCGGAGGGCCTCGATGATGGCGTGGAGGTAGGGCGCCGTGTTGTGGTCTTCTGCGGACCAGGCGGGGACGACGCCTGAGTCTTGGAGTTCTTGGATGATGCCGAGGGCCATGAGGGCGACGATGCCCTGGCCGTTGGGCGGATGCTCCCAGACTTCGACAGCGCCGTCGCCACTGGCGCCGGATGACGCTCCGTTGGCTTCTTTCTTGAGGGCCGGCTTGAACTTGAGTGAGATTGGGTCGACGGGCTCGCTTCCCAGCTCGAGGTGGTGAGCCAGATCCTCGAGTTCCAGGTGGCCGCCGAGATCTTTGACGACCTTGACTAGCTCTTCGGCGATGCGCCCCGTGTAGAAGCCCTTCTTGCCCTCCTTTGCGAGGGTGCGGAAGGTCTGCGCCAGGGTGGGGTTCTTCATGATCTCGCCGGGGTTGGGCGCTCTCACGCCGTCCGACGCCTTGGGGTCCTTCTTCAGCATTTCTGCAAAGTTGGGCGAGGCCTCTCTGATCTGGGGCTCTGCTGTGTTCCACTATCAAAAGGTGTCAGCAATCTTATCCTGGCAAGTGCCTATTCAGAACTCAAAAACGATGGGATCATAGAAGACGTGAGAACATACGTAGTGGCTCGTCAGCTCTGAGACAGGGAATCCCTTCTCTCCGAGCTCGATAGCTGGGGACAGCACCCGCTCGAGGGAAACCTTGCCGCTGCCGAAGCGCTCGATGGTGTCGACCCAGCCCGAGGCGGCACCGGGGACGGTCACGGCATGGACGCTCTTCATGGGGATCTTGCCGGACGCGCCCTCTTTGATGCCGAGGTCCTTGCGGATGGTCTCGAGAGTCGACTTCTGAGCCGAGCGGCCGGAGCCGTTCATGGCTGATACCTTCTTGGTGGCTGCATCGTAGAAGAGGATGAACATGTCGCCGCCGATGCCTGTGGAGCACGGCTCTGTCATGTTCAATCCGGCGGCTGGAAACAGGACATAGGTCATTAGCAATCTGGAAATCCACGTCTAATCATGGTCACTCATTTCAAAAATGGATGAAGAATAGTAGACTAACCAACTGCGACGGCGGCATCCTGATCACTTGCTATTAGTCTTGACCACGGATGTATTGACTCAGGAGAGAGAGGCGTTACTTACAGCGGCATTACCGCCGGCCTGAAGAATCTCAATACCACATTTTGCGGCCAGCGGCTGTGTGCAAGATACGATTCCCTTTGTGCTGTGGACGACACTCCTTCGGCTGGCGAACTTTGCGAATTCGCTTGCTTGCGCCGAGTGGAGGGACTCGCTGGTGAGGGGCATGGTGAATCGCGCGCGGTGCGGGGTTATCGATCGCGATAACCGATAGGGACAGTGGTGATGATGAGACGGCGGGGCAGTTCTTTTTTGGGGGCCGGAGGAAGTCTTATGAGATGAATGCGATATTATCTCAGTCTTTCAAGAGACGATTTTTACTTAATGAACAACAATTGTACGAGATCTTTTGGAAAATATAGATGGCGTCATACAAAAAGGGCGTAAGGTGCAGCGAGTTCGGAGATGGGATGCACTGGACAGATAGGTAATAAGCCACCCCAGGTCCAGGTTTTCGGGAAATCTAGCCGATGAAGAGGGAAGGGTGTCTAAGTGGTAGTCTAGTCAACGGGGGATATGATGCCGGTAGTGGGTTAAGGAGGAGCAGCAGTCAATAGGATAGGTCGGAACTTGAGCGTTGAAGATATAATGATCCTGTACGTAATGCCTAGGTTGGGGGGCCCAAGGGTGGTTACCGAGAGAGGTAGGTCGATAAGTGAACGGCGGTACGGAGCAGGATGTGGACGGGGGAAACTGGCGCTAGTGGAGTTTGTGCTCCGCATGAGAAGCTCCCCGGGGTAGATGCCGAGAAAGAGGATACTCGCGAAGTTTGGCACTCAGTTGACAGCTGAGTGGTGCGTGAGTTCAAGTGATGCGAGTGAGGGTGAAATATGAATGTCGACACGGGGCGCGGAGGAGTCTTGAGGGAAGACTCTGATTTTCAGAAGAAAGTCTGTTTGTTCAAGTGGCATGCTGCACGTCCTCCATCACTCTGCCTAGATGGAATGGCAGATGGAGGAGACCGACTTATTTAAGCCATCATATAGAGCTAGATCGTTCATTACACGTGGAACTATCCCGCGCGGTTATACAATGTCAGGTACTTGCAGGGAGGGGGGGCCCCTCAACTTCTCAAGTATCCGATCTGGGAAGAAAAGACCCCGAAACGGTCTCTTTCAGCACTGTCGTTCCCACTGTAACGCCGCATCGGCGGCCGCCGCCGGCCACAGGTCCGAAACTCGGGGCTTGTTTCAACGGCACCAGTGTGGCATTGTAGCACGGTCAAAAAGTGCCCGGGGAAAAGTAATGGCAGTTGTAGTTAGAACAGTAGTTGTAATGAAAGTCTAGAAGTGAAGAATTGGAATTATTTGAACTCTCTCATGTACGTCCCATCCTTTTTCGGTTCGTCATCCCATGTTCTTGGTTCGTCTTCCTTGTTATGCCCTCGGGGTCCGGATCCCATGACCAATCTAGCACTGCGCTCTTCCGTCATATAACAAGTTGACCCAAACAGGCGGATCATCCCGCCGGGTCTTGAAGTCTATGACTGCGAACTGACACCCCGAAACGTGGGTCTGATCCGAATAACGATCGCGAGCCTAGCCAAGCCGGATTTTTTAGACTCCTTGCCCAGAGAGCTAGAACCAGTAGTCCAGACACTTCTCGCAGAAACATAAGCTGTCCTTCTAGAACAAAGTCAAAAATAAGCTGTCCGGGATGAGCGCAGGGATGTGAGCTTTAATTCGCATCAACCGGCTCTTTCCCCCTCCAACTCAATTGAGACCTCCTCCCTTTTAAGAGAGGTGAGAGAAGAAAAGGATAGCGTGTCTGTGAGTAGTCATTGGAAGAGCCCCAATGAGGGTTGTTTATGCGATGAAAGTGTTTCAACTCATCTAGGTTTAATTGCGCTTGTCGTCTTTTGTCTAACGTGTTCATGCGGCACTGACTCTACACTGCAGACGTCGTCTGGTTGTCAGGATGATTGGGCTATCACATGCTTATGACATCGACTGACCTCCCAAATGTATTTATGAGACCATCGAGATCATTGATTGCGTTCAAGTCTCTTGCCCATGGCCAAGCCTCGATGCTTGTCAAAGAGTATATCCGTCGTTATCGTAAATGCTGGAATATTTCCCTTGAAATGAACCAATTCTTAGTAGGGTGACTTCTAAACCGCCTTGCTCAAAAGAGTCGCACGATCGCGGCGGTATTTCACCCTCTGCGATTGGGTCAACAGCTCAAGTAAGAAGAACACATGGCAATGTCTTCGATGTAACGCCAGTCAGCCTTGAAACGGATCCGCAGGAACTACGTAGGACGGCATACGACCCTCCTACTGTGGTGACTTGCTGACTTGCCAGAAACTTATACGGCACTACCCACATACTTTTTCGGGAGTTTTTCTGGCCGCTGTCAACTCATCGTCGTCCGACAGGCACTCGCAATTCGAAACCTGGGAAATCCTGTGCCCAACGAACCAAGTGGTCTCATGTCGTCTGCTCTGATGTCTTACGAGTTCACACGGCCTGTACGAGTCTGACTTTAGACGGCCGTCAGCCTTACTGTAGGAATAGCTTAGCTTCAGAATATCATGGTGCAGAGAATACACCTCAAGACTTTTGAAGCACTTCATAGGTTGTATTCGTGGGAATCCCAGCGTGCATTACTCACCATTATACGACTTGACCGCCTTCTTCTGCTTCATTTGTTAGTCTGCCATACTCAGGCCATCATTGAGGCCACACTCGGGTAACGCTGAGAAGACCCGCATCGACCGCTGCACGACGGTCGACACATTTCTAAGGTACTACACTATTGTCCTTGATATGAAGCCTATGACGAATGTTTCAATGCGGCTCAGCAAATGTTCAGCTGAATTCAACGAAAAGTCCGCAGTCGCGTGCTACATGAAGCTCACGGATTACTGTTGCCTATGCGGCACCCAAGAAGGCTGAGATGGCGATGCCGGATTGAGTGACAGTGAGACAAGATGTAGGTAAAAATAAACGTTCGGTCCCTGGCATACATCCGAGATTCTCTTCTCTAGTTCATTGGATTAAGGGACTTTGTGGCCCCCGCAGCCTGATTCTGACGATATTCCTCCGCGCGCTAATTGGTTGTGATCCTGCGAGGTGCGACGCACACAACATGCAAGTAAGCACGTAGCCTTCCTGATGACATTAGTGTCTTCAAGGGGGGCTGGAACTCGGGAGGAACGTAGCAGCTGCACGAGTATGGCACAATTTGCCGCTGATTAAACCATGGATATTTAGTGTCGTTATATGACCAGCCTGAGAGCTCAATACTTCGAGTTCTGGCTCGTCAGTCGCAAATACCAACGTCAGCGATGCCAAGCAAATGGCAAGGTGAAGTCTCAATTCGACGATATTTGCCTACATTGCGCTATTTTGACTGGGCTCTAAGAGCAGCCTCATTTCCAATCGCCTGGCCAAGGACCAGCAAACCATTTCGACATGGCGGCCAATCACACTCTTGGGATGGACTTTGACAGCTATTCTTACCAGTCTGGCGGTCCAGGTTGGCCTCAGTCGGTGTACAACATCTATGAATCGAAGGACTCAGCTTATCCCATTACCGTCGATCTTCCATACGCTTGGAGGTCTGTACCAATCAACGCCCATGAGGACTGCTACGATCCGACATTTCTGTTTCGTGACTCGGCTCCGAATGTCTACGGTTGCGCTGCCCTCGCGACTTCAGCGTTCCTCGTGCAGAAACATGATATCGTCGCCGACAAAACTGTCAAAGAAGCGAATGCAAAAGTCAATTTTGGCTCTCTGGACACGTTCAATGCCTCGCGGGTCATTGAAATAATCGTCGGCTGCGTCGAAGCATCCTGTACCGACAACAATACCTTGGGAGACTGCGATCCGAAAGTCGCGGAGCTCACACATGATCAAGTGGTAGCCGCTGATCTGAACGTGGTCTTGCATACCCTTGAATCCTTGTGCTCTTTCCTGACAAAAGAGCCAGAGGCCGATATTGCTGGCCCCGGAGTAAGAGATGATGTTGATCCGAGGGAGGGGGGCGACTCTGTGCTGACAATATTATAGATTGCCGTATCATACTACATACAAATTGCGCTGTGCATCTGGTTCTTCATTTTTGGCGGCCTCCTCCCACACGAGCCTGACTCATCCACATTCTTTGGTATGCTAAGTGTCATCAGATGGTGCTTCAGGAAGTGTCGCCGACGTTCAAATACGGAAATGGACCGCCTTCGCTCAACCTTGACATACCTACGCTCAACTCGCTTTTCCGTGGCCTTGTACTCGGCCATGATCGAGTTTCAAGAGACGCAGGCCTTCTTCGTCATGGCAATCGAGACAGCGACCCTCACCATGGTCATCATGAACAGCGAGTCCCTCGCCATCCGAGTCGACGTCAGCGCCGCCAAGGCATTCGCCACGGCCAACACGCTGTTGGTTCTCATCACCCAAGCCATCATGCAGCGGAGAGGCATATACTGGTGGTACACATTCGTGCTCACAACGATCGTCTACGTCCTCTGTGCCATCATTCAGCTGCTCAGCCTTCCGGCGCCGTCGTCCTCCCCGAATTCTTCGGATTCCTCTCTTGAGCTCCCGGCCTGTGGCGGACAGCGAAGTATCCTACAAACGTGTATGCAATTCGGTGACGGCGATTTCTACTTCGTCGACGGATATGGGCGGTCGAGTGACAAAAGCACTTATTTTGTCATTTACACAGCAATCATGGTATTTCTGGCAGCAGATCATCTCGGACATACCCCTCGTCTACGGAGGATGAAGGACTCGGCACGCCAGGCTCTCGAAGACCGCAAGATTCGCATACCCGCCTGGATATTCAAAATTTCGTCCTTCTTGGGAAAGCTCTTGTGGTTCCTCCTGGTTATCGTAATGGCTATGGCTATATTTGCCAACGTCATCCAAGTACACAAGTTTGTTCGACAAACAATGCGCAACAAAAAGCAGTGGACATTTGGCCAAGTTGTTGCGGTACTGGTGTGGGCGCCAGTGCTATCCAAGTACATCTACTACAACATTTGTAAGCTCAGTTCTAGCATAACACCAGGCGAAGGCTTGAAGCTTGGCACATTAGCTGACTTTTAAACTCCTCTAGTCGGCATCGAGCTCGGCGTTGGCAAGCGAATAGACGACCAGTACAAGGTCGTGCTCAACGAAGAAAAGCTACCATCAACACCTACCGGAACACAAGAGCGATTCGATTCTTCGAGGAACTTGGTGGACGAAACCAGCTACATCAGCCTTAGCGCCATCGGGGACGGTTATGAAGATCAGAGACCCCCAAGGATAGAGACAAGGTCGTTCTCAGGAGGGGTTAAGCGCAAACCGTTGCCGCCGGGGGCCGACACTCAGTGGCCCAGATGTGATGCGTAGAGCTGGGAGCACAGCAGACGGCTAGATCGGAGTGGATTCCATCTCATAGAACTTAACGAAGCTTGGATTTAACATGAATTTGACATTTCAAAGTTTTCAGGATGGTTGCTTTTGACATACTTGGCAACGTCCCTGCCTAACCTTAAGTACTACGCAGAGAACTTGCCCAGGCTTGGAGATCTTTCTACGATGCTATATATTCGATGGAACTACCCAAGAATACGGCTCTGCAACGGTTCTGCGGTCGGTGATGGCGTGGCTGAACCTTGTTGGCCTATTCATGGTGTATTTCAACATGATCCTCGTGGTATCCGCAACGGTTGTCCGCAACCTTGTATCAGTTGTTCCTGAAAATTCCAACCATAAACTTCAACATCAACACCGTGATGGCTATTTCTTTTGCGGGCCTGCTCGTGACTCTGGTTTTCTCAAAGCTTTCTCCGAAATATCTCTCCCAGAAAGCTATATAGAGGAAGCCGGTTCCCTCCCAAGACCATAATCCTCCCAATCTTCCATCTCTCCCACACACAACCATCCATCATCAATTTAAATACCCAACTCCAAACAGACAAACAAACAACCAAGTCCTTCAAGATGCCTTCACAGACTTCTAATCTTTACTTCCTCACCCTGGCCCTCGCCGCCACAACCTCAGCCATCGCTATTCCGGCTAAGATGACTCCCACATCAACCATCGGCTCAGTCATAACAAGCCCCTCTCCCATACCAACTGAAGTTACAAACTGGAAATGGGTCATCGGCTTGTCTGACTACGTCGAGTCGACAATCAAGGAGGAGGAAGACAGTTCCGACATCAAAGAGGACGAGAACGCCTCTGTTACAGTACCCACCGTCCCCGAGACTTTCAGCACGGTGACTCCTTCAGCTCCCAGCAGTGCCGCCATCGTCACCCCCACACTCACCCTCACCCCCGAGACCTCAGCCAAGGCCGTCCCAACAGAGGATGCTATGGCCTGGAACTGGGCCCTCCCCGCCCTCCAGCTAATCGAGGCCCGCGAGCTCGGAGACTCCACCACCTTTGCCAACCGCCGTACAGGTTCTGGAACCGACAAGGTGGACAAGTCCTACGTCGTAGAGGATAAGAAGAATGAGCAAGATCCCAAGCCCCGTCTCGATGAGGTCGCAAAGGAGATCATCGGACAATTCAAACCCCCTTCCCTGCCGCTGCAGACCGACGGCCCCAACAAAGTCGAACCCTCCAAGAAGAAGGCCGAGTCCACCATCCTCACCGAGACCCGTCTCTTCAAGACCGTGGCAACCCCGGCTATCAAGGCTCGGGCTCCCAGCAGCATGACCATGGAGATTGAGCCTACGCCTACCAAAAAGGCCAAAGCCGACTTCACGATTCAGACGGATATGAGGCTGCATCCAACCGTTACAGCTCCGACAGCAACGGCTCAGGAATCTAAAGCCACAGCCATGATGGAGGGTTAAGCCTACTCAGTAGAGCTTGAGAGGGAGGGAGCATCATTAAGACCATGAGTGGTCGGTAGCACCCTAGGGGTATTCTTCTCAGTATAATGCGGTAGGAATAAAGAGGGATTACTGAATCTATGAACCGGTGAACATGTTGTTTCAATGCTGTCTGTTTACTCTTCCGTCGCCTTCCTAGTCGAGACTATTCCCACCACCACTGGCATGACTTCTACATCAATTGTTAGCTCAGTCGTGAGAAGCTCCATCGCCGCTTCTACACTCTCCTCTACAGTCAAGGTTCCAGCCGAGCCACTATTTTACACGGAGGTTGAGCGAAAAAGTAGACGGACTTTCCTACTCAAACGCTAAATATCCTGATAGCAGGTGCCCATTGGAGCTTCTCCTAGACCTGCAGAGCAGTATCCTCCCTATTCGCATGACTCCCCTTCCTCCACCCATCCGTCGGGTCCTTCTTACTACTGACCCCCTTCTCAGCCCCAACCTTGCCCCATCCACCACCACCAGGAGTATTGATAATAATCCTTTCCCCAGGCTTCATCGGCGCACTATTCTTCGCCCCCAGATTAAACCTCCGCTCCTCATACTCCACCACCTCTTCCTTCTCCTCTCCAGCAGCACCCTTCAACCTCTTCAGTGACTTCTCCCAGCTCCCCTTCTCAACTTTCCTCACCCAAACATTCAACCCAGCCTCAGCATCCTCCCCACCAGCAAGCCCGTACGGCCTATACACCCTCCTCTCACTCAAAATCGACACCTGCACAGGGATTCGGAACTCGATGTCCCTCACGACACCATCACCGCCCCTATGCTGCCCATTGCCACCAGACCCCTTCCTCAACGAAAATTCCCTCAAAATCACGGGATACCGCCTCTCGAACACCTCTGAATCGGTGATGCGGGTATTTGTCATGTGTGTATGCACACCGCTCGTGCCCTCCCAACTCGGCCCCGCGCCGCTGCCGCCCGCAATTGTCTCGTAATACCCGAACCCCTTTACCTCTTTCTGCCCCGTCACGTTGCCGCCAAACCCGAATGTAAGGTTGTTACAGTCGCCCTGGCTCGCGGCGCACGCCTGGAAGGCCTTGAAGATGACGTCCGTCACGCGCTGGCTCGTCAGGACGTTGCCACCCACGACGGCTGCCCCGTCCGACGGTGACAGCAGCGATTTGGGCGGGATCTTGACGTTAATCGGCTTCAGGCATCCCTGGTTCAGGGGTATGTCCTCTGAAATAAGACAGCGGAGGCAGTAAATGATTGCACTGTACGTCACGGCTTCGGGGGCGTTGACGTTGCCGTAGACTTCGGGCCCGGTACCCTCGAAGTCAAATACCGCCTCGCCCTTGTCAGCATCGATCGTGACCTTGAGACGAATCGGGCTGCCGTCATCCATGAAGTCCACCGCTTGCAAGTCTTTGCCCTCGAATCGCTTGCTAACCTCCTTCAGCAGAGTACGGACGCACAGCTCGGCGTTATTTTGAATGTGCACCATGTAAAACTGCACAGTCTCCTCGCCATACTCCGCAATGAGACCCTCAATCAGCGCAATACCCTTCTGGTTCGCCGAGACCTGGGCTCTCAGATCGTTGATGTTGTCAGCCAAGCAGCGTGTTCCACTACAACCGGGATACTGCGCAGGCTCGTTATACAACAACTCCGTCACTCTCTTTTCATCGAAATGCCCTTCGCTAACAAGCTTCTCGCTCTTAATCGCAGCGCCCTCCTGGAACAGCTCCTTTGAGTGGGGAGGCATACTACCAGCCGTGATACCTCCGATATCAGCATGATGCGCTCTTGAGGCGGCATAGAAGAGGATCTTGTCGCCCTTGTCGTTGAAAGCCGGCATCACGAGGGTGATGTCTGGCAAGTGGGTGCCTCCGTAGGAAGGGTGGTTGGAAATGATGACGTCGCCCTTTTTCAAATCGCCTTTCCAAATTTCGGCCTGTCGCTTGACACAGGTTGACATTGAGCCCAAGTGAACAGGGAGATGGGGAGCATTAGCTACAAGACCGCCCGTCGCGTCGAAGATGGCGCAGGAGAAGTCGAGTCTCTCTTTGACGTTGGTGCTGACACTCGTTTTCTGGAGTGCTCTACCCATTTGTTCTGCGATAGCCATGAATCGATGACCAAAGATGCTCAGCATAATCGGGTCGACTTCTCGTTCGCCTTGGTTCTTTGGTAATCTACAACCAGAGGTAAGCTTCACGTTTTCGAATTGGACGAGTCTTACATGCCCGTCGTCCTTGGATCCTTCCTTCTCAATATCGATCACGACATGAGTATCAAGAACCAGTGCAGTGGCCTTTGGCGTAACCACGATAGTCTGCGTACCATCCGCAAGCATGGCAGGTCCTTTAATAGTCTCGCCGGTACTCAAGTCCTTAAGCTTGTATACCGGGGTATCAAGCCGACCCTCTTCGAAATACACCTGCTGTCGGTTATGCGCCTTACTCTGCTCCACATCCTGTCTCTTCAACTCCTTGAGCTGCTGATCCACCGTCTTCTCCGCATGCCTGAAGCTCTTTCCGATACCGCGAACGCGCACATCATCGACAATGATATCTCGATCGTCGAGGGTGAACCCAAACTCATAGCGATGCTGCTGAATAAAAGCCACGCCGAAGTCCCAGTCCTTGGTATTCTTCTGCTCGTCCTGATCGGGCCTGATAATCATCAGCGCGGACTCGGTACCGCGGTACCTCATGTTGAGGTACTCCTCAAACACAATCTCCTTTTCGTCAAAGCCTTGGTCGCGCAAGGCCTTGCGGGACTTGTCCTTGAGCTTCTCCATCTTGCTCTTCAGCTCGTCCACTGCTTTGCCGGGGTACTCCCAAACCTTGGAATCAGGTTCTTGGCGCTCGTCGACGACGTCTGCGAGTGCCATGCCGTAGGCTGATAATACAGAAGAGTACCTATGGATGAGAATCTGCTGAATACCTAGAGCCTCGGCAATGGCAACAGCGTGCTGTCCACCGGCACCACCAAACGTTGCCAATCGGTGCTTGGAGGAATCATGTCCCTTGGCTTCCGTGATAGACCTGATGGGTCTCGTCATAGTTTCATTCGCAACAGTCAAGAAGCCGTACGCCACCTCGTCGACGCTCATACTCTTCCCAGTCTCCTTATTAACCTGGTCCGCAAGTTCCTGCAGGACCTTCTTGCTAGCCTCAGGATCGAGCCCTTGATCCTCCTTCTCGCCAAAGATCTTGGGGAAGAACTCGGGGAGCAAACGGCCAAGGTAGAGATTAGCATCAGTCACAGTCGCCGGGCCTCCCTTCCGATAGCACGCCGGACCCGGGTGCGCGCCAGCAGACTCGGGCCCCACGGCAAACAGCCCATTCTTCCAGAAAAGCATAGACCCGCCACCCGCCGCGACCGTGTTGATGTCCAGCTGCGGCGACTGGATAGTCACTCCGGCCGTGGTTGTCTCAAACACGTGCTCGTATCGTCCCTCGCCGAACCGAGAGACGTCGGTGCTCGTGCCGCCCATGTCGAATCCGATCACGGGTATCTTTGTCTCTTCGTCGTACGACGTGATGGCGTACCCCACAACACCGCCAGCCGGCCCGGAGAGAATGGCCTTGAGTCCGGTGAAGTTCTCCACGTCGACTAGACCGCCGTCGCTCTGCATGAATTCGCACCGGGCGCCCTTGGCACCTTCTTCCTGCTGAACGCTCCTCGTCCCCAAACCGCCCTCAAACCCAGCCTGAAAGCCCGAGATGTACTTTTTGATGGCTGGTGTCAGATACGCGTCCGCGCAAACGGATGTCGCCCGTGAGACCAGTTTGATCATGGGCATGAGTTCATGACTGAGAGAAATGTGCTTGAAGCCAATCTCCTTTGCAATCTTACCGACCAAGGCCTCGTGGTCGGGAAAGGTGTATCCGTGCATCAAACACGCCGCAATACTCCGTATCCCCGAGTCGTAGATCTCTTGCAACTGATCCTTGATAACCTGTGCCTCAGGACGCCGTAATATCCTCACAGCCTCTCCCGATGTCCCCTGAACAAGCTCCTCTTTCGCTGCCTCCGGCGTCCCAGCCTTGGCAGACACCTCAGTCAAACGCCTCGTCGGGTCCTCTGCATAATCCTCCAGCGTAACACGCTCGTCGACCTCAACTACCTTCTCATACAACACATCCGGCTTCTGAATCGCCAGATCAAAGATCTTGGGCCTGCTCTGGTTACCGATGGCGAGGCAGTCCTTGAACCCCTTTGTCACGACCATGGCGATCTTCTCGCCCTTGCGCTCCAGCAGGGCATTGGTGGCTACGGTGGTGCCCATGCGGATGGAATCGATCCTCTTTGTGTCGAGGGCTTCGCCGCGGGGGATTTCCCTCTCGAGGAAGTGTGACATGATGCGTCGGATGCCCTCGAGCGGCGCGTCTTCGTAGTTGGCTGGGTCTTCGGAGAGGAGCTTGATTATTGTCTCTTTGCCGTTGAGTTCGCCGACGCAGTCGGTGAAGGTGCCGCCGCGGTCGATGGCGATGCGGATGCCGCGGTCTCGTGAGTCTGAAGCCATTGTGACGGTAGACCTCGATACTGTAGGAATTAGGGGAGGTATGTGCCTGAGAGTTACGTCGCCCAGGGTTTCTGGTTCACTTTTCAACTGAAAATATCAGAAAGTGTCACAGAAAGACCAAAGTAGAATTCAAGAGTAGAGACGAAGGCTAAAGATCATGAATTCAACTCGATGATCCGATGACAAATCGTGTAGGCATCGACGTCAACGGGATCATACAACGGAGGGCGCTGCCGATAAGACAAGGAGCTTGGAGCTCCGCACCCCACTACTAGCGTGATCTACCCCGCCTTCCGCACCCGTGGAGTCGCGGACGGACAGGTGCAGAGTGGAGGCGTTCTTGCGCTTCGAGCTGTTGAGGCATTAGAGTGGACTCAATCAATCATATCAAATGTTAAAGTGAGTAAGGTTAAAACAGCAATGGAAAGGGTAAACAAAAAAGAGTTCACCCCCCGGTGGGGCTACATCTCTTGGTGCTCATGCTGGGAAATCGAACTCGAACTCGTAGCCTGTCGTCGAGTAGGCTGTTGGCGTACTTTTATTTTAATTATTGACCATAACCACTCCACCACCCAGCCAGTTTGACCTGACCCCCGACCTAGAGGGCGCCTGCTGGCTGGCGATGGGGATGGATCTGGAGGGGTATTTGGATGCTTGTCGTGTATTCGGTTGGTGGAATATGTCATGGAATGAAGGCTTGGGAAGGGTGCCTGCGGTATGGCCTTCACCGCTCGCTACCTTTGTAGTCACGGGGTCGATACACCATCTTTCTCTGCCTCGCGAGGTAAATGGTGGTGCTGAACTGTTTTCCCAGGAACTTACTTTTCATCCTTGCCTCAACTCTTTGAGGGTGCGATTAAGAAAGAGACACTAGGCGTGTAGTTTCACGCAAGTAATCGTCACCGATCAAAGAACGCAACATCTTCATGGTTTGTATATGTCCGTCAATTATTAAGTATGTATGTATAGTAATCTTGTTCTCGTCCCCAGCGATGCCAAGTTGCCTGGCATCGGTCGTTTCCATGTCTTTCTTTCAAGTCATATAGTCTTACAAACAGCGACTGCTTTGCGCTGTGCTGCGCTCTCTCGTCTTCTTATCCGATAATTGGTACTAAAAGGGTGTATCGCGCCGGCGCCAAAGGGATGAAATGGTGGAAACTAGTGGGTGACGACCCTCACAGCCTGGAGCATCATGCCAAACATGAAGCCCCGCGCCACCTCTTGAATCTGAAGACTGTCAAAGATACGGCCCAGTGCGTCGGTCGTCGCCGCCTGTCCCATAACGCCAGTCAAAGCAGCCGGAACACCTCGTTTGATGAGAAGGTTGCGTGCCTTGACGCGTAACTTCTCCTTCTCTTCCTCCGTCATCTCGGCAGGCCAGGTGGCCCGCTCTTCATCAGTCGGCATCGTGTTTTCTCTCAGCTTGCGCAGGTGGTACGCGAGTCCTTCATCCTTGGTGTTGGCATCGATGACGGATTCCTGCATCATCTTTTGGATTGCGATCAAGGACGGGTTGCCAGGTCGCAAAAGGAACGACTTTGCTGCGGCTAGCAGAGTTCGTCGAATGTTCCAAGCGGATGAGAGCGTGTACATCTCATTAATAATTGCGAAGACCAGCTCAACTGCCACGTTTGTTTCTTGTTCCTGGAGAGGGGAGTATTGCCGTGCAGGCTTCGCTTCCTTCTTCTTCGGTTGCGTCTGTGGAAGACCCGGTGAAAGAGCCCCCATAGAATTGCGCGGGGAGATGACTTCATCCATTTTAGCCTGCATGTCCCCTTGGGTAGGTGACTGGTAGTCTTCCGGCATCTCGTCCGGCGGCGGAGGCAGGTATTGAAGGTTCATGACATCGAGACTTGTTGACGAGGGAGAACGCAGGGCGGGCGACTGCAAGGGCGCCAGGCTCGAAGCTCTACTATGTTCGCGACTGCCAGTAGCACTTGGAGTGTTCCTCTCCCAACGATCGGAGCGAGGCTTGAGGCTGTCTGTCTCGGTATCGCCTCGGGGGTCAAAGCTAGGTCGTCGTTCCATAGGGGCGATCTTGCCTGGCTGAGTTGAGACAATCGACGATCTTTGGCTGTCGAGACTGTCCCGGCCCTTCCGAGGGCCCACTCCAGTCGTCGGCGAAGTCAGTGCCGCGTTGAGACTGGTAGTGCTGTCCATCCTTGGCGGTGTTCCCGTAGACCAGCGATGATTTGATGTTTGAATCTCCGACAACGAGGATGCGGTGTTCTTTCTTGGGCCGAGACCGATGTTGTTGAACATGCCAGTCACCCCGCCAAACACTGCCTTGCCGCCCTCCATGGCACCCTTGGGGCCCATGGTCAAAACATCCAACATGTTCTTGCCAACCGCGTCCCATGGCAGACCCGACTTGGAATTGCTGTGACCGTGACCCGAGTCTTTCTCGAGGAAGCGTTTCATGCCCTCGCTCTCTGCGAGTGACTTATACCAACAAGCGTCCTTGACGTAACGCTCCAACTCACCACGAAGCGACTCCCGCGTGTGCGACTTCCAGTTAGGAAGCGCAGCATGCTGTTCTGTGAAAGCTGTCACGCCCGAAATATTTGCAATACGTCTCAAGATCTCGTGCAGAGTCTCAAAGTCGGAGTACTGCCTAACAATCATCCAGCCGGGGTAATGAGACGAAGATGGCTCGATCTGAACCATGTAGTCCCAGTTGGGCTTGCTTCGGATACGGTTTTTGTCGTCACCATCCTCATACAGAGTAATGGTGGCATTGTGCAGCGTTAAAGGAAGCTTGCGGGAGCTTTCGTCAGGCACCTCAGGCTCCTCCTTCGCGGGTGGCACGATCTGATCAAAGTTCAAGAATTGGGACGCGCTCCCGGTAGAGACGTGTTTGGATGAAGGCTGTTTCGGTGACGACTTCTGGCTGGAAGAGTCCGTGACAGGCGAGTGCATGCTTTCCCGCTTAGAAACGTCGGACTCATTCGAACCACTCGAACCATTCGTTGAAGGCTTCTCCGCGGAAGACAAGGATCTCGGTGACAGCTCTCCGGGGGAAGACACAATTTTGCCTTCGGTAGTCTGGACTGTCGGTTTAGACACCGAATCAACGCTCTGTCGCGTCTTGACTCTCTTAGACTCTTCTTCGGCGATCAGGGCGTTCATTCGCTTCATTTCCTCCATGGCTTCCTCCATTTCTTCGTCAGCCTTGCTGAGCTGCTTCTTGTGCGAGACCAGGGATCCTTTACGACGCTCGCGTTCCATATCTAGTGAGTTGCGGTTTCCCTTGGTCAGGGCGATGTTGCCGACGTTTCCGTCAATGTCGATGAATGCATTCGCATTGCTGGCGGCGCTGGCAGTGGCTGCCTCGGGGCCCGTCTGCATGCCAACGTCGATGGCCTGACTAAAGTCAGGTTCTCCGGCTTCCAAAAGGTAGACAATCCAGGCATTGATCCACTCCGGCGTCGAGCATGACTGTAAGCTCATCTCAAGAATCACACCTGCCAGGATTTCCCGGAGGAACACGCGAGCAGGATCGCAATTATATGCCGACCGCTCCAGGAACCCAAGCAGGTCGTCTGCGACATTGTGAAATTTCGCAGCCTGTTGGGGCCGACTCAGGAGATTGGCCAGATTCGAGTTTGGGTTTTCTTCGAGATATTTAGAGATAACCTCTGGGGCTGTCGAGTTTGGGTCGTTGTTTTGGTCGGTGAAAGCAGAGGATAACTCGGAGAGGAAGACGATGAACATGGACGATGCATTGGTCATGAAGTCGAGGAAGGAATCGGCAGGTCGTTTGCGATAGAGGTGGTTCGACACAGAGAGAAGAAACGAGTTGAGGAGTCTACGGCAGGAAAGAGGGAATGAGCTGTCCGTCGGAAGGATCGGGTTATACCACCACTTGACATAGTCGCGGATGACGGCGTCGACAAGGCCCGTCAAGGCCTCGCGCGTCTCCGGCTGAAAGTCGTCGAATCCATGAATTAGTCGATCTTCCTCTTCCTCGTCGTTTTTGGGTGGCTCTGCGATCTTGACCAAGGCCAGGCGCTGGAGGACGTCGATTCCTTTCTCGCCCCGGACCGCCCGGGACACCTCTGGATGGCGCGCTTCGTACGAAATAAAGGCGACAACACCGCCAAAAGCGCCGATCAGGACGAGTCCAACCTTGCCGAGAATGAAGTATGTCGAAGCTGCCAGGCCGACTGCGATAGCGCCTAGAGTCTCCGGTGTCGCGGTCGACAAAAACTTGAGTACTTTGGTGACCAAGTCATCTTCTTCCTCCACCTTTCCACCAGGCGTTGGCGCTTCCGACCTGGCCGCCGCTGTTGTCAAGGGAGCAGAGGAAATCGTAGTATTGTCTTCGATCGTAGGAGGAATTGTGGATGGTGTCGTTGCAGTTGTTGCCGTTGTTGTTTCAGTGACCGGGAGCTTCTCATCGGCGACGGGAGATGCGCCGCCGGGTGGATGCACTTCGGCCGGCGTCGAGTCCATGTTTGCTTAGTTCGTCGGTCTATTGAATTCGGGGGTCGCACCCTCTCTCACACATCCCTGATGCTGGAGGTGAAAAGACCAAGCGTGCATTAATCGAGCAGAGTAAGAAGCAAATTCGAGAAGGCTTCTTCTGGCCGTAAGCGTAAAGCAAGAGCAGCAAGTGATGGTCGCTGTCAGCTGCAGGCGCAAGCTCAAAAAAAAAAAGTTGGTAGAGGACAGTTGGCCGACCTTTCCGTGAGGTGGTTCTCTCGTCAGCCACACGCAGCTATGGACGGTAGGTACGGAGTAGTGTTTCGAAAAAGTCTAGCAGAAAAAAAAAGAGGCGTGCGTCAACTTGAAGTGAACCAGAACCAGCCAGAATCAGATGTTGTTTTAGGGGGGCCTAAGCGCTGATGGGACTGGGGGAGGACGGGAAGCGAATTCTTGTTGACGTCCACGGTGGAGTTTCTGGCAGATTGGCCCGCCTTGAATGGGAACGCAGATGTGCTCAAAATGCTCGCCAAAGCTCTAGACTCCTAATTTTAGTGACGGAACCCCTGCAATGGTCCAGTCGCCTAGGTAAAAATCCCCGTGTTTCTGGGCAGTGTCTGTCCACTCTGGTAGCTCTGATTCCACTTGTTTATTAAAACCGTCTATTGGATCGTCAATAATTGCAGCATGCTTGAGTCCGTAGGCATGGGATCATCAGAATTGAATAGGGGAAAGGGATAGGGATAGGTAGTGCGGCGCGAGGTACGGACAGATGGACAGAATATGGGGTTGAAACACATCTCAAGCAGCCGTGGAAGGACCATTCTGGTTCAGCTGGTTCAGGAGGCGGCAGATGCGCGCTCGAGGTGAGACAAGATAGCGATGTCCCTTGCATCGAGTGACGCGACAGGGTCTCAATGTTGGAGATTAACGTCTTTTTGGTGCACTGCGCCGCAAAATTATTCCCCAACTCCCTCCCGTCCTTGGCGTGCAACGTCTCCCCGGATGATACCTACCTCACCTTACCTTAGGTAAGCTATCTAAGGTACGGAGTAAAGGAACCTTATCTCGAGTACTACAATTCATCACGTGCCCTCGCGTCACATGCGCCGGACTGGCCGATTACGTCATCTGCTGAAAGTCGCGACAGACCACTTTACTCAACCGGCCACAACGCGACTGCCAGGTCATTGACAACTCATTGTGCATGCGATTGACAACACATTCGTGATTGCATCTCGACTCTTTCAATTTCTTCAGCCTTGCTCACCGCGCCAATCTTTCCGTCCCGACTTTCAGCCACAATCTCACCTAACACCTAGCCGATTGGTACAGCGAGTTTAGCGACAGTCCAGTCCACCATGCCATTCACCAAGGGTACTAAGCGCGCCGCCCCGCGCGACTCGCGCAGCGATTCCGAAGACGAGGTCATCACCAAGTCCAACAAGAAGACGAAAACAGCTAAGACCGGCGGAAGCAAAGATGGAGTTGACAAGGACGGCAACCCTTTCTGGGATGTGAGTTTTCTTTCTTCTTTCCACCTTGAATGCCCATTTCCATGTATTCTATCAAACTTTACTCCCTCACAGGTCGTCTTCTAACATGCCTGGCTTTCCCCTCACAGCTCTCCAATAAGCGCCGCATAGGCCTTTCCCAGTTCAAAAACACCACTTTTGTCAACATCCGCGAGTTTTACGAAAAGGACGGCGACATGCTACCCGGCAAGAAGGGCATCTCCCTCACCGTACCCCAGTACGAGGCCCTCGTCAAGGCCATGCCCGCCATCAGCGAGAAGCTGCGCGCCATGGGCCACGACGTCGAGGACGTTGAGGAGGATGGTGGCGCCCCCACTGCAGTCGAGGCTCCGAAGCCCGCGGCCAAGGAGAAGTCACGAGCCAAGAAGTCCAACATCGAGGCCACTAGTGACGAGGAGTCGGACTAGGACTCGGATTCGAGTGACAAGGACGATGACAACGAGTCTGAGTCTAATGCGGATTCGGAAAGTGGCCAGTTCGACTCGGGTTCGGAATCTAACTGAGGGAAAGGGGGGCAGGCGTTATTGAGATCAAAAGTTACACGCGTCATGCGGATTTGTTTTGTTGCTTTGTCCTGATCATGATAAGACGGGATTTGATGTTTGACAAGGGAGCGCGGGCGGGAAATCAAGACCATATTCTTCGCGGGTTGCAATTGGTGGCTAGCTTAATCTGATCGAGGTTCGGACTCTGGGCCTCGTGTGTTGTGACCTCAATTATCTCAAAATCGAGTTCGTCTCGGGAATATGCCTGCATGCTTCATTACTTTTTTGCACGTTCGTCTGGCCACGGACTTACATCAACCCATCTCGAACCGTGTAAACGGCTGGGCTGATTCTGATACTGGCCGGACGCCTTCCACGAAGATATGAAACAACAGGATACACGAACAGGACTTGTTCAAAGACTTTCTGGCGCGTTCCACGCTAGCGAGGGTCGAGGACTCCGGCAAATAAGTCTTGCATGGAATTCTGCGAGCGTGTGTAATAAGGATTCTGAGCTAAACGCAAGCCTCCACCATTTATAGCCAGTGAAGTAAGAACGATACCAACTTTGTGCGTCTACCATAGATGGTCCTCTAGTCATTCCCGGCTGCCTAAGAGCTTGCGTCAACACTGCGTTGTGATCCAGCAAACCTCAGTCAAATTATGTGTCGTCGACTACCGAGGAAAGTATAGAAAGCCATGTAGGCGGCGGATATTCCGACCAAGAAAATTGACAGGAACTTGCCTTTACACGTTTTGTAGTCTTGGGGATTGAGGTATCCGGTTGATCCTGATTATAGTGAATGTATTCTGAAGAGACGCCAGAGCGATGTCGGGTACCTACACACTGGGGCCCCGGCTGGAACCTAGCCTTACTATCGATCCGGTCTATGTCCTAGGTTTTCTCCTAGGTTGCATGTTGTAGACTTACCTCTTTTCTTCAATCCAGTCGGAATGCGAGATAGCCCTTTCCAATGCTTCATGAGTGAGAACCCAATAGAATCTCGTCTTAGATCTGAACCGGAGGATCACACAGCACGGTACCCTTTTGGGAGAGAGGAGACATCCGAGATAGATATCGCACTCTACCTGAAAGTGAGAACAACAGTCTTGTGGGACTCTACTTGAAGGTGGAAGTGACAGAGCCTGTTGAGTGTTGGCAAGACTTTAGCAGCGTTGTTCACAACGTTTGCTGTATTCATGTACTTAACGAGGTTACAGAAAATAGTCCTCAGATCTGAAGTCCTCATTGCAGATCATTCAGAAAGGCTTCGGCTGTGATGTATGCCACATCCAGCATACTGGCGAAACATGTTGAGCCAACGATGTCTTTGGCACAAGAACCAGATTGTATACGAGGCAATTGCCAGTTAAAACGCGATGTCGGTCCTACACATGTACCTGATGCTCTACACATCTTGTTCTCTCATCGTAGAACTCTGGCAGAATACAGACCCCTCACAGCATAGGGTATCTATGCGACCTTTGAAGTTGAAGATTTCCTGGTATTCTACGAAGCACACTGGTTGATAGGCACGTCTGGCTGGCCGGACTCCAAGAAGACGTGGGTTTACCAAGTCCCTCCCATAAGAAGCGATTAGGTACCTAAATTACTGACTTGAATCAACCGGGCCGCTGACTTGCCTCTTTAATTTCATGGCTGAGATCTTTCTGCTAGTCCGCCGGTCGACCTACAACGCCCTGTTTGATTGGTCTTAAGGGAAGTAGGCTTGGAGGGTCACACAGAGAGAGAACGCAGCCGTCACGCCGGAAATTTCAACGGACTGCCAAACGCTACTCAAGATCGCAACGGCCCGAATGGATCCACGACCACCGGATACGCCCCGGCCGGCTTCGGTCCATCAACGGGACAGATGTTGCGACCACCTGTACACGAACCCCCGGCCGCTATCCGTAGATCATTTCGCGCAAAACGGATCTAGACAAATGGTCTGTGATTTAGAGATAAGGCAGGAGAACCCAATCAGCCCATGCATATCCTACAGACTCCCCCGGCTTCGCTTTTGCGCCAGCGCAAATTAAACAAGACCCATACAGATATCGTCATCGCGCAATTACAAGCGGGAGGTACTTTCATCTTCAGTGCATGTTTCCGGCCGAGGTGTACGGAAACAAACTCCAGGCCGCTATTGGTGGCCTTAACGATCATTGGCAAGCACATGCTTTCTTCTCTTTCCACCATCAAACACATTGAGAGTTTCCCTCCAATTTCCCAATTTCCAAATTTCCCAATTTTACGTCCCTCCCATGTCAAATGTTTGATGATCCCTTCGATAATCATCAGCATTAAATTCACTAATACCATTTTCTGGGGGGCAGGGCCTGTTTTAGTATATGGTTTGGGGTCCGAAAAATGAGAAGTTAGTCGCCGGTGTCTGCCCCGGCGCCCGTTGTAACCCCCCGCAATCCTCCCTTCATTTCGTTGAAACGCTTCTTTCCTTTCCGTTGGAAAACGGTTGTCACAAACGGCCTTAAATAATTCTGTCTGAAAGTGTACCACAGCACTCCGTAAGCTACACTAAGGCCGGATCCTTGTCTGGGAAATCATGACGATCTCGTCTTGTTTCAATGTCTCTTCACCGAGTACGGAGTACCTACCTCACTTACGCCCAGGTGCCCTGCGCCACGGATCCAGGAAATATCTCAAGCCCCGGGAACTTGGAACTTCAACGTCCACGATATGAGGAGTGCCGTGGTAGACTCGCATCACCGTCTTAGATGCTGCTCCCCCGCCCGTGCTGGATGATCGTCTCCCTCGCTATGTCAGGTCTCGAAAGCAACCCCTCCTCTCTCTATCATGTCATCAATGATCGAACCCAATCTTCGCGACCGGAGTAGTGCACTCGCGGCTTAGCCCACGCATTACGGCCGCGAATAAGCCCGGATGCCCGATCCGGTGACCGGGTGGCTGTGCCGTTCGGACGCCCCCCCCGGCGGACCGTGGGTGACGACGACGTCCACGTCGCCCCCCGATGTGCTATTGGCGGTC